TGATGCTCGTTCCGACACATCTCGCACCCACAATCATTCCACGTTGAAATTCAGTTAAATCACTTTTCTTTCCCATATCTGAACAAGCAACACAGTATAACTGATGACTCACTTGTCCAGCATTCCCGTGTTATGATTATCTTGCCCTCTAGCGGCAACGCTGTGACGCAATAACTCATTTGCATAAAACTCTGAGGTGGTCATAATAATTTGGCCACTCAGTGTATTTTGTATAAAGATATTGGATGTATTGTAACATCATATTATCAATTCATCATTCATCACAACATCAAGATATGTTCAGTTCAGCTCTCGATCACTTTAGTACGTAGAGAACTTTGGGGCTGCAAACGGAGGGGTAACGCGCTTTTCTATATAAATTTGGTTTTATACGTCAAGATTCTGATTTGAATATGGAAGACGATAAAGAGAACTGCATATTTCTATCATTTTTTTTTTTTCTAAGTGGTTTCTTATTTCTCGCTCTAAGACTTTCTCTTTTCCTTTATGTTAACGGTTATAGTTAACCTCCAATAACATTTTTGTTTCGGATGATTTAGTTCCATTTACTTCTCTAAAATATTTTTATTTTCAGATATTAAATTTGTACTTGCAATCATAGTATGTAAACTACAACAACATGGTTAATGCAAATTAAATACATAATTCGCATTAAATATCCCATGAGCATGGAATTTAAAATATTTATACACTATAGTACACAAATAAAAGCGACGCTAATTGTGAACTATAATGTATAAACATTTTTCCATCAAGTTAAACTACATATTTGAATGCCAGAAAATCCTACATTTCAGATAAATTGATTATGTAGTTCCCCTAAAAATAATTATTTCATTTTCTTAACCATTCCATCAATTTATTTCCAAATATAAATTTTAGCTTTTTAAATTTTATAGCGCAATTATGTTTTGACATTTACATAATCATTTTAAAGGGTGGCACATTGAATTATTTTACAGTATGTATAACAACTGCATTTACATGATTAATCGAACACTAAATTTTTTTATTTTATTTTATTCATATAATATTAATGAGCCATTTTTATTTATTTCTGTTCAGCTCTTTCGATGGATATAGACGTTGTTTATTGATGGTGCTATACACACAAGAAGATTGCCGTGAAACTGCAAGTGATTTCTTGACTAAATTATCTGACAGAATGGGTGGCGTTTTGACCCAAGGAACTTGCTCCGAACACTTTGAACGCTGCACTGGTCCTTCTTCTGGAATAAAATTTGAACCATCAAAGTTTATATGGATAGCAGCACTTCTGCTCACATTTTTGG